TTGCAGGTCACTATTGAATTGGAGCAAGTAGAACCACTGGGTTGAATCCAGACTTAAAAACCTGAAATTAGTTCTCACTGAAATCAGTTGGGCAAGCTTGAATCCTGTTGATTTCTGTGGGCAACTAACCTAGTCTGGATTCAACCCATTGACCACCATTTTCTGTACACAGAGCCCCTACTGGAGGCAATAGACTTCTGTTGATACAGCCTAGAATAGCATCTGGGGTTGTGTGTTGTTGTTTTTTTGCTTCTGCATCACACTGTTACCTTGTGTTAAGCTGGTGGTCTACTAAGACCCCTAGATCCTTTCCACATGTACTACTGGCAAGCCAGGTGTCCCCCTTCTTATACTTATGCAACTTGTTATTCCTGCCTAAGTGTACATAGAACCTTACATTTAGGCCCAGTTCTCCAATCTTCAGCACCACAGTCACCTTTCTCCTATGAGTTTTGGAGGTTTCAAAAGTCAAAGCTAGCCTGCTCTTTTCTTCTGATGGGAGTTTCACCATTTGCCTCAACAGGAATGGATCTTACTCTGGACTCTGAGAAAAAAAATCTCTGCTTTACGTTTTATGGCTGTTAGAGGACTGAATGTGCATTTAGTATTGGTTTTCCGCAAACTGTTCTATCTCCCTGACACACACAAAAGGAGCAGGGCGACTGTGGTGTTGGAAAGAGGGAATCTTTGGGTAATAGTATAACCTCATGGGTGAATGAGAGAACATGGTACAATTTTCTTTTTGTCTTGAATCCAAGCACTGGCTGAAACAGCTCATCATAATTAGAAGCTTCTCAGCAGCTGTGGATAACCTTGAAGGTTGCACTGGGTCCCTTTTATTACCCTTGGCTCTCCGCTGCATTGTAAATAATGTCTCATTAAAAAATGAAAAGCTTTGTCTTCCAGAATTAACTTTATAAAAAGGTTACACTCTACATCCTGAAATGTATCTCTGGCTGAACCTCCGTCCTCCCCTGTATTAAAAAAAAAAATTCTGAGGAATTTGTCAAAAGCTTTTAGTAGAATTGATGTATTCAGCTTAGCTGTTTCGGTTTTCTGAAAACTAGTAAGCACTCATGCTTAATGACAATAATGTTTCTGGAGGGAAAAATCAGAAAGAGATTGAAATTAGAGTGAAGAGGAAATATTTGTTCAGGGGGAAAGTGCAAGTCTGCAAGGGCTAAATACATGTTGAAACATGTTGTTAGTGAGTCACTGCACTCATTACCACTTGCTTGCAGTTAGCAAAAAGGTTTAATAGTCCTTCAGATTAAAATCAAGGAGCATGAGTACTATTATATATAGTTGCGTTCTCCAAATTTCATAGCCATTTCTTTAGCTTTTCAAAGGAAGATGCCTGCCCTCTGAAATGATGTACTGCAGACATCTGCCAGTTAGACATGGGGCTGGGAGGATTGTTTATGGTTTTGTGAGCACTGCTGAAGAGTTGGCTGAGGAACTGCCTTCTTAACTTTTCCTTCTCTGCAAAGTTTTCTCTCCTGTTAGCCTTGTCTGCGTATGCCAAGCCACTTCAGCACTGGGCAGTCAGTTTCTGTCTGAACTTTGATTAGTGTGTTTCTACTTTCAGAATAGCTTGAACATTTTGTGATTCAAGGTGACTAATGCAGAACAGAAGTAATACACTATAGCTTACATAGTCTCTCTTCACTTGTCACGTTGAACCAAACTATGGCGTGCTGGCTAGATTTTCCTATTTGGAGTGGATTTTATTTGGGAACTAAAAATGTGATGGAAATCTGGTGCCTCAACATGGGCATGCAAATTTGTCTTCAGAATTCCAACTCCAGCATTCTACCATCTTTACCTGAAAAAGGAGGGTTCCTAAACTTGGCTTTGAGGGGGTCAGGAGAGCAGTGTGTGGGTGGAGGAGAGAGTGGATCATTCCACAGGGAAGTTGAAATGCTCGTACAGACAGAGCAGTGCTGCTTTATTCATTCATCAAATTTGTATACCGCCCTTCAGCCACAGATCTCGGGGCAGTACACAACATAAAAACACAGTATAAAAACATGTTGAGTTCTACCCATAGTGTCCCCCTTTTAAAAAGTGTGCTTGCAGCACCCATTACTAGAGACATTTAGTAGTAAGTGTTGCCTCAGTTGTTGTTTTTAAGTATTGCTTTGGTGCTTTTCCTCCTTCTTCCATGGATTTCCAAGTCTGCCTACATACCATCATAACATATGGCTACAGTTATATGATTATTATTTCAGGGAACTTTTTTTTTCATGAAGAGGAAAACATCTGGGTTGGAGAATACTGTAAAGTGAAAATGTTTCTGCTCTGTAACTTACCATAGTATTAAAGGGCCTAAAATAATAATAATTTTAAACATGTAAGGGAGATTTTTAAAGCAGTTTTGTAAAGACCTTTTACTGCTAAAGCTTTTGTAACCTCTATAAACTGATGAGTTACCCTGAACCTGAGGGGTAGCCAACATGGTACCCTCCAGACATTGATGGACTACAACTCCCATCAGCCCCATCCAACATGGCCAGTAGGGCGGTTCATAAAAAAACTTTGTTTTGAAAATGCCTGCTCCAAAGGTCTTGTCTTACGACACATGGGATTATATAGCTATATCTGAAATTTTATGCATATCAGTTAATATCTTGACCCTCCTCCATGAAAATAGCTGTTTACTTGACCATTTTCCTATGTCGTAAAATTTCAATTCTGTGGAGCAGGGTCAAGATATTAACTGATATGCATAAAATTTCAGATATAGCTATATAATCCCCAGTGTAGTAAGTAAAGACCTTTGGAGCAGGCATTTTCAAAAAAAGGGTTTTTTTATGAACCGCCCTAATGGCCAGTGGTCAGGGAAGATGGGAGTTCAAATCTCCAAAATCTGGAGGGCACCAGGTAATAACTCCCAAAGTATTTCAAACAGTTAAATTACACATACAATACATTAGCAGTACAATATCAAAGCAGCACAATACCAATTTAACTTTTAAAATTCAAGTATGCTATTATGGATAACTAATATAACATATATGGGACGCGAGTGGCGCTGTGGGTTAAACCACAGAGCCTAGGACTTGCCGATCAGAAGGTCAGCGGTTCAAATCCCCACGACGGGGTGAGCTCCCGTTGCTCGGTCCCTGCTCCTGCCAACCTAGCAGTTCGAAAGCACGTCAAAGTGCAAGTAGATAAATAGATACCACTCTGGCGGGAAGGTAAACGGCGTTTCTGTGCGCTGCTCTGGTTCGCCAGAAGCGACTTGGTCATGCTGGCCACATGCTGGCCACATGACCTGTACGCCAGCTCCTTTGGCCAATAAAGCGAGATGAGCACCGCAACCCCAAAGTCGGCCACGACTGGACCTAATGGTCAGGGGTCCCTTTACCTTTACCTTTAATATAACATATAGTTAATTAGCTGTCTTGATTCAAAATCAGGGCTGCTGCAAGATTCTAGAAACACTCAGAATTTGGCAGTCTGTAGGTCTTGGCATATGCAGGCTTTGGCATTAGCACAAGCCAAGACATAGATGCCTCCTCTGCACCTGTTGTGGTCTGCGTAGTACAAATCAGGCTCATTCCAAGAGGCACCATGCACATTGAACCTCTGAACCTCCAGGTACCCCTCTATGCGCACAACACATCCAAGCTTATGAGGCACCATGGGAACTTCTAAGTTCTGTCAGCATTCAACACCCTTTCACAAGGGATAGTTCTAGTTAGAGTTGGATTAAAATATGCAGTTTAATGTGTCTTTAATGATGGATCACTTAATTGTAATGATCTCAGCCCTACCACAAATGGGATCCTTTTGTCATATTCTTTTTTACAAGCTGCCAGACACTAGTGTCATCTGAACGACTTTACTCTTGTTGTTTGCTTGGAGGAGTCTGCATTACTTTCCAGAGATTAATCCAGCTGGGGAATGTTGTATGTTCAGCTCAGTGTTAACACAACAAATGATGAACTCACACATGCTTTCAAATAAACTGGCATAAAGCCACAGTAATTAATGTCACTTGACCTACGTCTGTCAAGTCCACACAATAAGTCACACAGCAACTATGAGTGGTGGTAGCAAAACTGTTTATTTAAGCCCAGAACTACCCCAGTCATGTATGAAGTAGGATAGTGTCCCCTTTTCATATGTGATGGCCTGGGACTCGGGATCAGACTCAGAGTCCACACCGGATCCTTTGCCCCAGGCAGCATCTGAACCTAGTCTGGGGCCTGATTCTGAAGAGCCCCAGGCTGCACAGGTTCCCCTACAACAAGCACCAGCTGGGCCGAGTCAGGGGCCTGAGCCTGCCCTGGCTCCAGATGCGGGGATTACCTCGTTGCCTTCAGCTGGGCAATCACTTACAGCTGCTCCACTACCAATTGGGTCAGGAGAGGTTGAGGCAGCCTCTGGGTCTAGTAACCCACCGACATCTCCCGAGCTGCAGAGACTGAGGTCTGAGAGGAGGAAAGACCTGAGTACTCGCAGGAGGAGTGCTCACCTTCGGGCGAGACAGGGAGGTGAGTCACCAGGGGATCAGGACCAGCCATTACCCCGACAGAGATAAAAGGCTGCTAGACCTCACCCCAGGTTGCGGGAGCAACATTGCTGTTTGCCAGAACCTGCCTGTGATCCTCTGTCTTACCTTGCCTGGTTTCCTGCCTCATGTCCTGCTTTGGCCCTGCCGGACTGACTCCTCGCAGAACCCTTGGATTCGGGACCGGACCTGGACTGCGTTACCCCCGGGCCCAGCACATTGTGGGGTGGAAGTGAACAGGTGGCGAGTGGTAGTTGCTTCTCCATCAGCAGTTTTCTGCCCCAGAGCACTTTTCTCATCAACTCTTGATTCCAGAAGCTTGGTTGGGAGAGAGAAAATAGTCAAGATGAGACTTTGAAAAGTAAGTGGTGATGCAAACAGTGATCTCCACCCCCAGGATGGGTCTACCACTACTGTGTTTTCTTTGAAGCTCAGATTGGTTGAGGACAAGGAGCTAAGACTAGTGAAAGGAAAATGTAGATAAGGATAGCTTAGTCAGTAGAGCATGGAACTCTCAATCTCATAGTTGTGGGTTAAAGCCCCATGCTGTGCAAAAGATTCCTGCTTTGCAGGGAGTTGGACCAGATGACCATTGTGGTCCCTTCCAACTCTGCAATTACACGATTCTGTGATTCTAAGGCACATTAGAGACCAGGCAACGGAGGCAGAAAGAATGCTGGCTGGTACCCCATAGCATCCCTATATCCTTTGTCGTTGAGTCCACTCTGACCAGCTTGATATACACACTCAGTGATAACAACTTGATTGAGGGATTTGACTGATACTGGCTGATTTTAAAATGTTAGTTTTGGAACCTTATACCACACTGTTAATGACATATTTTTGTTTCAGGCACATGCCTGTCTGACATGTGGTCACTATAGTTAATGGGCTTTTGTTTGTACAGTGTACAGTTTGTTCGTGGGTCCTGCAAGCAGCTTTTTACCCTGAGGGCTATCAGTCAGGCTATTTTGTTCATGTTTTTATTATCAATAGCTGAAAGGATCGAGCAATAACAGTGCCATTGTCCTGTGGAAGCACTTTATGCATCCATCTGGACAGATTTGGCAGGTGTGGTTGAGTATTCCACTTTGTGGTGGAAAATCGAGCATGCGAGGCCACTTTCCATAAGTTGGATTTGTTAGCATGAGTTTAAACGGGGGCTGTCTGTGCTGGGAAGAGGCAAATAGCCCCTGCTGAATGCCCAAGGTACTTCCATCCTCTCTGCTTTCTGCTGAAAATTCCAACCTGGAGGCAAGCGATAGTTTTATGGAAGCCGAAAGTGGTTTGAGAGGCTGCGCGTCCCATGGTGTGCATGGACACACATTCTCACACACACCTTTTTGTGCCATTTTCACCTATAGTCAAACAAGTTAAGGAGTTTGCTTTAAAACAAACAAACAAACCTTGCCAAACCTGTTTAGCAAAGTCAAGAGTGGGATCAGTGTACGCGCCATAAGCAGTGATCCCTCTTTCAAGCTGCCTGTTAAATCTTTTCAGCAGTCTCCATCTGTAGGTCTCATAGCCCTAATTACTTTAGAAAAAAGACTGCAGAGGTTGCATTGTAATGTATTGTTGGGTCCTCAGGGAGTTCTTCCAGCAGTGAAGATGAGGTCATACAACTGGGTGAGGTGTGTCATACAACTGGGTGGTGTGGGGGGGGTGAGAGAGAGAGAGAGAGAGGGAGAGAGAGCACAATGAAGGTGGATAAAGGTGCACGGACTATCCAAGGCCATTTCTTTCAATGGAGCTCTTTCCTTCCTTTTCTATTTGCCAGACATTTTTCATAGCATTAATATCCAAGGGGCAAGAATAAGACTAATAAAAAGAATTTGCCACACACTGCTTTGCTTCACAGGAAGGCTAAGAAGGCATGGAGTGTTGAGGTCCTGTTCAGCAAATAGTGAAGCCATGTTCAAGTATACAGAAGATCCTTGATGTGATTATTAATTTTCGGGGGAGTGGGTGGTTGGTGAAGAAAATGGCACAAGTAGGACTGGCATTGCCTCCACTCTTACACTATAGTCCACATTTTTCTCCCAGCTTGGCACCAAGCATGGCACAGTATGACCATACCCTCGGGGGGTCCACAAATTGTGTTTGGATTTCCTAGCCAGTCACTGTTTGCCCTCTATGCCTGTTCCTTTCAATGCCCCTCCCCAAGTTCAAGAGGGGGAAGGGATTTTACTTATTTGCACTGTGGTATGAAGAAGGCAGGATAAAGCAGGAGTCCTCTTAGGCTGTTTCTCATCTTCCTCAAACTGCTGTGCAAGGAGACTCAAAGCCCAAAGAGCTTGAGGGAGAGGCAGAGTCTTGTTTCAACAGTGCAGAGATTTGCATAAGGGGGGGGGGGCTCATGCTATTATTGTGGGATCTTGTGTTCTCGCTGCTTGTTTTCTGGAATATAGTGATAGGTGCCTTTGCCTCATAATTTTTTATTTTTATTGTAAAAGAACACCTTTCTAAATTAAGCTTAAGTTCTCAGATAATTTAACTTGCTAAGAAAGATGCTGGTGACTTTTTATATATATATATAAGAGCTGTTGTGAAGTCTGAAATTGGCAGGCACTACTTTCATTTTGCTGCTAGGAAAAGATCTGCATTGTGCGTCCTGCGTTACCTCTTCCAGATTGTAACTAGATACATTTTGTGTTGTGTTACATTTCAGGCAGCTGTTCTTGATGTACAGCCAAAAAGTACATGCTCATATGCTTAACAGCTAGACAGAAATGGGACTTGCACTGAGCCTGGCTGCCTTTGCTTCACACAGAAGAATTAACCACATTAACTGTTTCAGCATGAAAAGTAGCTTTCTGATAGTTGTAAATATTTTGTTACTTACTGTTCAGAGAAATTTGGGTTCAGCATAGCATTGAAGGGCATTATTTCATAGGAATTTTGCAGTCTTTTCTTCTGCTTGCAGATGGCTTGTACACTAGTAATCTTGCTTTCCTTCTCTGAAGACCCCCATCTATCACCTTTTGGACCCCACCCTCATCTATCGCCTTTTGGAAGAATGGCTAGATTTAAACGACTGCTTCTTCTTTTCTTTTAACTTTATAGCTGCAGCGTACCTTTCCTTTCCTCCTACAGATCCTTACAGTGCAAAGGTTTGGCCTGCTACAGAAACCACGGAGGGAAAGTAAAACCATTTCCCTGCCAAAATTGTGAGAGCTGGCTCTGTACAGAGCTGCCCCCATCAAAAGAACTGGAGGAGAGACAGGGGAGTACACTTGATAGGCTGCGAAAATCTCCCAAGTGGAAATGCAGCACTGGGATCCATCAGTGTGCCAGATATGTGGGCTCTTTGGGGGCTCCTGCCCCATCTGGCGATACCAAGGCCCTATTGTTTCTGTTTTAATTTTGGGTGAGGGTGTGCCCAGATTTTCAGGCTGGCAGAAGCTGTGCACCCTGCTCCCCCCACCAGGGCCTAACACCCAGCAAAGAAAAACTGTCTGCTACTGCATACCTTTTCTTTTTCCTTACCAGCTGGAGTGAAGTACTCAGAGCAGAGGTAGGCAACCTAAGGCCTGGGGGCTGGATGCGGCCCAATCGCCTCCTCAATCCGGCCCACGGACGGTCCGGGAATCAGTGTGTTTTTACATGAGTAGAATGTGTGCTTTTATTTAAAATGCATCTCTGGGTTATTTGTGGGCATAAGAATTTGTTCTTTTTCTTCTTCAAAATATAGTCCTGCCCCCCACAAGGTCTGAGGGACAGTCCCACGGCTGAAAAAGGTTGCTGACCCCTGACTCAGAGCAAACAAACAAAAAAGCCCCCCTGCCTCTGCTGGCTGGTTAACCCTTTCTTGAAACACATAGGTTTAGTGTTGTTGGGTTTTTTAATCCAAAATTATTTTCTGGTGCTTTACTTTTAATGACAGCAATCTTGTTCTCATTTATCTTTTTCCTCATCTGGAGTACACTGAATGGAAGTTAGTGCAATATTTTCAGGGCTGCAAGCTGGGATCCCCTCTAGGCTTCCAAGCTATCGTTCTGCTGAAATGTATTTCAGAATCTGTTTGTAATGCTGCAGCTCAGCCCTGGAACTGTTACAGCAGCCTCCTTTTATTTTATGTTGTGAACCACCCTGAGATCTGTGGGTAAAGGGCAGTATACAAATTTTAATAATAATAATAATAATAATAATTGCTCAGAAGTAAGCCCCACTGTGTTCAAGGGGCATAAAAAGGTAAAGGACCCCTGACAGTTCAGTCCTGTCATGAACAACTCTGGGGTTGCGGCGCTCATCTCGCTTTACTGGCCGAGGGAGCCGGCGTTTGTTTGCAGATAGTTTTTTGGGGTCATGTGGCCAGCATGACTAAGCCGCTTCTGGCAAACCAGAGCAGCGCACAGAAACTCCGTTTACCTTCCTGCCAGAGCGGTACCTATTTATCTACTTGGACTTTGACGTGCTAGGTTGGCAGGAGCAAGGACCAAAAATGGGAGCTCACCCGGTCATGGGGATTCGAACCACCGACCTTCTGATTGGCAAGCCCTAGGCTCTGTGATTTAGACCACAGTGCCACCCACGTCAAGGGGCATAGTGCCTATCAAATGCATTTAAAATTGCAGTTCAAAGATTAAATTCAATGGGACTTAACTTCTGCACTCCGTGCAAATAAGTATATAGTTAAGAACTGAAAATTGTGTTTTGTTTTGTTTTTGCAATGGGATTTAGGCATGTTTCATTTTGTATGAAAGCTCTTAGAATCATAGAATCATAGAATCATAGAATCATAGAGTTGGAAGAGACCACAAGGGCCATCGAGTCCAACCCCCTGCCAAGCAGGAGGGTTGCTTCCCATTTCCATCTTTGAAGAAAAATGCTCCATTCATGTAACAGGGTTTCGTATGCCACATGTGGAGTATTCCTTCCCTTGTGGAACAGGGAAAGTTCGGCACACACTCTCCATTAGTACTACTGGATTATGTTCAACATTTGCAAGATAAGTTACTTCAAGTGATATGTTACTTTTCGTCTCTGGGGCTGCAATCCTATGCATATTTACTTGGAAGAAGGCCCCACTAAATTCTGTATAACATCTGAATAAATATGCATAGGATCAGACCTTAAATCCTATAATTGCCATTAAAATTCACCTTAGTATCTTTATTTTAAAGATTGCAGGGGAGTACAGTTTCGAAACACAAACAAGCACCCCTCTCTTTACAGTGGTACCTTGGGTTAAGAACCTAATTCGTTCAGGAGGTCCATTCTTAACCTGAGGTACCACTTTAGCTAATGGGGCCTCCTGCTGCCGCCGCACGATTTCTGTTCTCATCCTGAAGCAAAGTTCTTAACCCGAGTTACTATATCTAGGTTAGCGGAGTCTGTAACATGAAGCGTCTGTAACCCGAGGTACCACTGTACTTGGGTATCTCTTCCTGGCATTGCCGCAGGAAAAGCTCAGGTCATGGCCAGGGCATGTTTTTCTCCAAGGAACACACTGCAAATCATATCTTTTTTTAAAAGGAAATGTTATGAGACACATAGTTTATTAAATTGGATTAGCCATGCAGCGGCTCTTTACTCACTGATATACTTTGCTGTATT